TATGTCCAATGGTGATAAGTGCCACAAAGTTTCTGTTCATCAGGGAATCCTATTGGAAAGATCTCTTATTTCCATTTAATTTTACTTCTTCCATTCTTACTTCAAAAAAGTAAGGTAAGATTTAGATAAGTAGGAAGATAACTTCTTGAAGAGGGTGGGGGTTTTATTATGTGCAGGTCATGCAAAACAGATCTTTTAATTTTTAGTTTGATAAACAAGATCTGATACTGTGGTGCATCTTTTATGTTCTTTGATTGATGGGTCTAAAATGAGACTCTTCCTAGCAAGCAGATCAGGTATTAATTTTTTCATAGCTTCTTTGCCAATTTTTGGCGTTTAATCACTTTTTAAAAATTCCCTTGGCTTATATATTGGAAGCAAAAAAACCCAAACAAAAAACAACTAAACCATTTAAAATGCTAGTACATCGAGTACTACTTTTTTTTTTTTTTTTTTTAAATAAAATATTGCTTTGCCAGAGATAGAGAAATACTCTATGGTGGTAGATATACAGGCTAGCGTATGCTATCAGAGATTGACATATATTTGCATCCTGAAAGGGGTTGATTTCCTGGCTGATTTCTTGCTACAGCTTCACAAGAAAAATGTTATTAAATATACAGACTCTATGAACTTAGTGAAATGGGAAACCTATTAAATCAACTTGAGTTAAAATCAACAGGAGCTGTCATCTCATCATACAGCTTTCTCACATAGAATCATAGAATCATTTAGGTTGGAAAAGACCTTTAAGATCATCCAGTCCAACCACTAACCTAACATTACCAAATTACATGTAAGGTCCAGCTGCTGCAAACTAATGTTGAGCCACATGAAAAATTAACTTAAAGTACTGGTTAACTGTGTAATACAGGTAAATATTAAGAATTCTAGTATTTGCTTGCCAGTGGCTACTAAGTGATGATTTTTTTTTTTTTCATTGATTTGTATGTGTTTCTTTTCTGTCTCTTTCACTGCTTGTGTTATTGAAGAACATGGCCCTTCCAGTACCTTCTTGCTAAGCAGACTGAAGACCAGAGAAACCTTTACTTTCAGGAAGTATTTGCTGGTGCTGTTCTAAGAGTTTACTTGCTCCAGCCAGAATACTTCGGTTTGGTTTCTTTGTGCTGTAGCACTTTCTGCAGCAGAAATTTTGTTTAAAAGAAGAAACAAGACAATCTGTAAGTCCAAACAGTGCTACTGTGTAGGGCAAAGTTGTAGTGGAGACCTAGCTGAAACTGATTCTGTAGCACTGAAAAACCTGAGATAACTAGCTCTGACTACAGGGTTAAAATCACAGATGAGGGGAGAACAAAAGAGTAACAGTGATGCCTTGAGAGTAAGCTACGGTTCTAAAAACTAAAGTAGCAAAATGAACTGTTCCAGCATCTGTGCTCAGCTTGTCCTTACCTTCCTGTAAGAATTGTGTCAGACTAGTTTTGTTAAGGTTCATGGTAGAAGACCATTGCTACTAAAGATGGAAAAGGAACCAATACGTACTGCTGGGCAGTCCTGTATATTTAGTATTGTAACGCAGCTCTTCGGAACATTTCCTAATGTCTCTTAAAAGTTATTGCATTACAGCTTAATTATGGGTAAAATCTGCCTAGGTTGGCTGCAATAAGAAGGAATGTGTGACTAGGGAGTGGAGTGGTGGAAGAAGAAGTAGTGGCAGAAGAGCTTTCGGTGTATGAGATGAACATAACTTCTTGGTTTAAGCCAAAAGAGGCCTAAGTGAGGCCAGTCTCCCTGGCCTCTGATATTTAACTGTGTGGTGTTGGACAATAGCATACCCTAGCTCGTGCGTTTTATTAGCTTTGCGTAGCGATACAAGGTAAATGCGGCAACATGCAGCTTTCCTGGTTTTTTGTGTTAGTCTTTGTGCGGCACTAATGACACTGACTTTTTCTTAGTGTGCAGGTTTCTCTGCTCAGTGTATTCTTTGACAGAGTTTTGCTGGAAGCAGTGGGAGAAAATACCCTCAGTAAAGAGAGAAGAGAGGATGCATCCCTGGCCTACAGTTAGTGAGGATCAAAAAGGATTTTGAACAATAAACCCTCAGCTCCTTTTACCCCATGCTGCAAGGGAAATGCAAGCAATTACAGTCCTAACCAATGCACAGTTCAGGTCTCAACTTGGATTTCATCCTTTCAGACTGCAAGTTTGTGATTCCTGCAACAGATGCTCTTGTACCCATATCTGATATATACTCACTTGCTAGGTGGACACCAGTGTGTCAGACTTCTGTGTGGCAACTTCACTCTAGCAGTTAAAAATAATTACACTGTTAGCCTTTGCGTTCTAAGAATTAATCTGTGTCTGTGTTTTCTAAAAGCTTCTAAAACTTAACTTCAGATGGACATCCAAATGTTTTTGGACTTTTTCTCCCTACTGGAGAGAACAGCATTGCACATGCATTTTAAAGCTGTGAAAGCTGTGTGATCCTTTGCAGTCAAACTTTCTGGTTGGCAAATGACACTTCTTTATTGGACCCAAGTATCGTTTCAAACTTTTGTATCCCAGTGTGTGACTGTGCAAAATAAGAATTCATTGGTAAAGGAAACTTTCTGTCAATAATGACTTTTGAAACACTGTAGTCATTGGAGTGTTTTACATGGCATAACTTAAATTTAACTGCAACCAAAACATTACTCGTACTTAGCCATGCAAGTGTACTTGGCAGGAAGTGGTAGCACATGTCACCAGGCTTGCTCTGTGAATGTTTGCAGCTCACCACTTCCTGTTACTGAAGTAAAAGAACAAAAGAAAATGCCAGTTTCTTGTTCATTTTAGCCTCTAAAACGTTGCAGTTGCGTTTGTTAAACTTCTTGGTATCATAACAGAGGTGTTTATGGCCTTCCCCTTTATATTCTTTTAGCATTGAAATTCATCTTTATTTGAGAATTTTGGTGAAGTTCCTACTAGAAATCTTAAGTTCTGAGAAGATATTTTTTGTCCAGATCCTGAGTTTTAGAAGTGATCAAAGGAATGGCTGTATAAATTATTTTGGTGCTGCGAGGGAAATGGCTAATCACAAGAAAGCAGTCTGTGCAAGGCGTGGATTAGTGTACATAGGCATCTAACTGCAGCATAAGCTTGCTTTCTCAGAAAACCATCCCTACAGGAGTCTTTCACTGTTTATGCTGATGTGTCTTAGCTTCAGTAGTTGACAGTAGGTACAGAATTGTCTTTAAACCACAGTAGTCTCTGAACCTAGTTTTCCTGATAGTTGTTATACTTAATTCTAAGACTTCAGGCCTAGACACAAGGGAGCTTTTAAAGTTGTTTGCTGTTGTCCATGATACAATACCGTTTCCAGGAAAAATCTGTATTTGTACTTTATAACCTTTGAGGCCAAAAGAAAATCTATTCAGAGAAAAGGTCATTTGTTTTCAGACCTGAATACAATTACCTGTGATTTCAGCTGGTGTTGCACCTGAGTTAGGAAAAAAATCTTTACAACAAGGGAGACACAAAATCCTGCTGAATGAATGTAAAATAGAAATACTCGCCAAACTTCTGTTACGTATAATACGGATTTTTTTAAAGTACACATCATTCTTATGTCATTTTTAGAGGAATGTGAATTAAGGAAAGTATCTTCTTGCCTGTAAATCTACTAGTGAATCTTGGGAAATTGCAATTGTAGCATTAGTCATTGCATTTAAAATTAATGCAATTAATTTCATATGCTGTTAAAAGTGCTGATGTGATATTTCTGCTCATAATTTGTATTCTAACTAATGGATTAAACTATGTAACCATAGCACATCAAGATTAAGTGGCTGAAACTTGGTATTTTCAGTATATTAAAATATTAATATCGCATGCGAGAAGTCAAATAGTTAATGAATATCCGTATTTCATATTAAAATGCTACTCAGTGTATTAGAAAATCCCGTAGCTTCCTGTTTAAGTGATGGATGAATTCTTAAAGCTAGAAACAGCATTTCGCCAATTAAGAGACTCTTGATAATTGTCACTTAAATTACATCTGAGAAAAGAAGAAATTAAATAAATAAAATAACCTACCCTGCCCCCCCCAATCTTTTACAAACTATGACTAAATATCGAGTAACTTTTTAAGATTCAGTGAATAAAAAAAGGCACATTAGTTTCAAAACATATTAATTGGGGGGTGCATAGGGGTGGGTGTCCCAGGATTCAAAAATCTGGCAGTCATGTAGTGGGACTTGAGCAGTCTCAATTTGAGCTATGTTATAATATAGGTTTAGAGACATGAAAGTTAAAATAGTCCAGGGTAAAGGCTAGTCTGCTTGGAAATCTTGGCTGTGATTCATAGATCCATTTGTTCCCTCTAAACCTTAAAAGACATTATTAAGCTATTCTGAATTAATTCTTTTTTTTTTTCACCTATGACTTAAAATCTGTCTTCAAAATCAATCTCAGAAACAGTGGGTACCATGTGGAAGTGTAAGGGCGGAGGAAAGGAGAGAAGTGTTTTCTTGATACCTTTTGGAGCTTCCTAGAAATTCTAAGTTACTCCTAAACTGGTGTTCTTGAAAAAATCCCATGCGCGATCCGCTTCAGCCACCTTCTGTAACTACCTGATACTTTACCATTTACTGTGATGTCTGATTAGATTGCATTAAACATCAGTTTTCAAAATGAGGTGCCAATTTTGAAGAGGAACTAAAGGGTCACAGCATGTATTTTTTCCTCAGAGCCAGCAGAGGTTCTAGGGAATTGACTTGAAATGCAGGGGCTAGTCAAAAGTTGAGAAAAATACACATTCAAAATAGTGACCTTACCAGTGTAAAATGGAAGAATTTTGAGATGAATTCTTCCTCATAATCTTGACTAACTCTAGTAGTGAGTCTGAGTTTGGTCTATTTTCATTGTGCAGAATAATTTATCCTTGACATGTTGGATGCAGCTGAAAACCTTTGTGCATCCTCAGCACTTCCTAGTGTTTGGAAGAAATGACAACTTCAGAATAATTCTTTTGCCTAAGTTTGCTCTTACCAAATTGTCAAAAGGAAACTGAACACTTCCTTTTCATTTATTGCAAAACTTAGTGTATTTCTTTCTCTGCCAGGAATCGACTTTAAGATCAGAACAATAGAATTGGATGGAAAGAAAATCAAGCTACAAATATGGTAAGCATTCCAAAGTAATTTAAGTTTTCAATGAGTATTGAATTAATCTTTGAGCAGGAATACTTCATAGCTTTTGAGCCTGGGTGTGCCAGAAAGTTTCATACCTTTTATTCGTTGACTGTCCATAAGGTTTATGCTTTGTTCTAGCTGGCTCTTGGAGTTGTTCTGCTTCAGTGGCACAGGAAATAGCCTGTTCACATGCAAACGTTACAGCAACTTCCTATTTTATCAAAAGCTGTCTTCTTAAATGCTCTTTTAGCTCTTCCGTGTGGAAGAGAAGTATTAATTCCATAGCTGCAAACTAAAATATGCGACCTAATAAAATGTAATCTTCTCTGATACTTTGATAGCTAGTTGTACGCAGAGGCACAGGTGGGTGATAATGCTCCCATTCCTTGCATGGTGGGTTAGTAGAGAATGAGTCTCCTTATAGCAGCAGATGAGTATTTTTGGAGTAGCATTATTACACATGCCAAACTCCTTAAATGCTACTGGTGAATGCAGGGGTCTTGCTGATTTCTCAAGTTCTAGAAAACATAGTTGTGATACTTGCATGCAAGCTTGGAACTCGTGCAAACAGCTTCTAAATGTTTTTTTTTTTTTCCTTAATGATTGAGCACCAATACATTGTTACTCTGTTTAAAAAGACATCTCCTAAGTACAGAAGAGTATAAAGATCACCTCCAAAAAAAAAAAATCCTTGTTTTCACTGAATTTTAGGGATACAGCAGGCCAGGAAAGATTCCGCACGATCACAACAGCTTACTACAGAGGAGCCATGGTGAGTGCTCTCACTTCAAAAAAAGTAGGCACAACTAGTGTAACTGGTTTGCTGTTCTTAAGGTTATATCATGTAAGCCTTCAACTGGAGGATTGGATAACTGTGGCTTGAGATGCGGGGAATAAAGTTTGCGGTTTGGTTGGGGTTTTATTGTTTTGTGGGGTTTTTTTTGTTTTTGTTTTTTAGACCTGCTGGTACTTTGTCTGGCTCTGTTTCTGTGATGAAACTTCAAGCACTATTGTCATCTTTAATATAATTAAAATTTCTGCAGATTATAGTAAGCTAAGTTGCCAAGCTTCAGACAAGTTTTTTTTATGCAATCAACCCCTTTAAAGATCTGAAATGTTTGAAAAATAGGTAGTGAATTGTTTTCATATTAACAGTGATTTCACTGAATTGTTTTTCCTTCAGCCAGTAGAGAATGCAAAACATGGGCTAGAAATACAATCACCTACAAAAACTACTGTTACTTTTTCCTCCATTAAGAATGACTTGAAGTCAAATAACTGACTTAGAGCCTGCACTCTTTGTGGTACAACTGCTTGTAATGGTTCTTAATGCTATGATTTGGGATACTTTATGTTGGGACACTGTTAATTTCAACTTGCTGATTACTAGCCATGCTGCCACTCCGTGTTCTTATCGCTTTGTATGAACAGAACCCATTCGTAGGCTGGCTGTGGGTCCAGATAACTCCACTGTTACAGATGGAGAGAAATAGTAATGGCTGTGGCTCTGTTAGAGCTTTCTAGTACTTAAAAAGGTTTTGGCAGTGATGCGGTACTCTCCCTGTCTCCCAGTCCATGGCCAAGGACTTTTCTTTGTTCTGTGAGGAATGATTGGAAAGGCAATAAAGAATGGAGGTGAACCTGGCAATCTGTCATTAATGCAGCTGTTGTGTGGTTTCCCATGCTTTGCTAATTATTGAGAGCCCACGCTAGTTATGATGTACATCATAACTGTCTGAAAGAGCTAAAGCTTCTGAGAGGGCACTTAGTGTTAGCTTTGCTGTAAGCTTCTACTGGCCAAATCTCACAGGTTTGTCATCTTTGACTGCTTAAAGCTGCTGCTTCTAAATGTGACTTTAACAGTAGAGTCCTGATTTGCTGTTGTAGAATTTCTAATCTTTTCCTGACTTATAGGCTAATAATTTAAAACTTGATATAGGTGGTGTCTTTGACCTCTAACAGTGGCAAAAGATGTTAAATAGTAATATTTTGGATAAATTCTCACAATGGCATAATGCTTTGAGGAAGGATTATAGATGCATAAGTAGTATGTTTAATTTCTTGCTCGCAAACCAACAGCATACATCAAAAGTCAAGCAATAGTGCTAGCTTATCTAACTAGACTTTCTTAATTTTATTTAGGGAATTATGCTGGTGTATGACATCACAAATGAAAAGTCTTTTGACAACATAAAAAACTGGATAAGAAACATAGAGGAGGTAGGTGCTTTGGAAAGTACTTCTTACTTGTTCCATTTTATGATTTCCCTGGGACAAATAATAATCAAGTAATTATTCACTTTCATTTCACAACATGTATGGCCAAGTTAGACTGTGCAGTGAATGCAACAGTGGTTATTAATGGGGAGAATATTATCTCATTCATCTAGGGATAGAAGGTAGAAAACTTAAGTTTAAAAAGTAAGCATAAAGTGTTTCAAACCTGATCTTACTATATGACTTTTATTGTTCTTTTTTGCTTTTGGGTGTGTCTAAGGAATGGAAAGGAGCAAGATTTTAGGGTGTCTACCTTTTACTGAGATGATGAGAGATCTGTCTAATTTCAGTTGTTACTGTGGTGTGTATTTGTCTCATTAGAGATTTTTGACCCTTTCATTTGGTCTTGGGTAAGCTTCCTTCCTGCTAACTTATTGAAAATTATTTAATGGGATATGCTGTCAAGTAGTGATTGGTCATTATGAAGTTAGAGGAGAAACATTAATTTTAGTGAAGCTGTAGTTGGGTAACAGAATCTTACCGGCTTGTTTCCTTAAACATAAAATCCACGGGCTTTTCTTTAGTATTGTTCTTTGGTTCTTAAGCAAAATTCCTGTATTAGTGACCAATTTGATCCAATAGTGACCGGGCTAGAAAAGTTCTCTTGTTGAAGTTCTCTTGCTGAAGTGATTATTACTTAAGTCTTTTATTAATAATCTGTTTTTAAAATGCAAATGTATCACTTAATGATGCTCCAACCAAATACCTGAGATGTCCATGTACCACTTTGAAGTAAAGTGTATACCGTTGCATTTCCAGAATAGCCAAATGCCTGTGCATGTGTACAGCCTGGTACAGAGCTCATGCTACTGTATTTCACCTGTAGCAATACTCAGGGAAATTTAATCTAGGAGTATTTATTCCAACCTATTTTAATATTTATTTATTAAGCTGCCTGTTTCAAAAGTCAGTCTCTTTCTAATGTGAAGGCATTACTGAGATAACTTTTTAAAAATAAAATACTCATTTGTGGATGAGTTTGACACATAAGTTTCTTTTAAATAATGATGCACTTTGTTTCTGAGCGATTACTTTTCCTTCTTTCAGCATGCCTCTTCAGATGTAGAAAGAATGATCCTGGGTAACAAATGTGATATGAATGAAAAAAGACAAGTCTCAAAAGAAAAAGGGGAGAAGGTAAGCTTTTGTGGCTTACCTTATTTAGAAGGCTACTTTTCTTAGGATTTTGGCTGCTGGATATTTGGTACGTTTTAGGCATATTAGAGATAATGGGCACCAAACTTCTTGTTTCAGAAACTTTTGTATATTATAGGATGCCAGGTTTGGGTTTTTTGTTTTTAAATAGTGCTTGACTGTCTTCAAGTTTGAATAAACTTAATGGTCCTATTGTCTTGAGGGGAAGAGCCTGTAAAGAATGTTGACCTTTGCTATAGCATGAAGTATTCTAAATCTCAATGTAAACCTTTGTATATAGTTTGATCATGTTGTACTCAGTTGACCATGGTGGTTACTTACTCTTTTTGTAAGTGCTGTTATTGAAGTTTAAGTAATTAGTTGTTCTGCAGAACAAACAAGCAAGCAAGAATACTATATAACTGATCATGTACACAGCTAAAGTAGTGTAGTTGCTAGTAACACAGCTTATGGCATAATTGTATGTAGTTATCTGGTCCATGAATCCATATCAACGAAGATTCTATCTTAATGTTCTTTTAGGTCCTAAATAAGCCTTTTTGTGAGCAATTAACCTCTTTGTTAGTTTTGAATTTACGTGAGGGCATGGCCTGTTCTAATATTTTGTCTAATTGTCCAGTAACTTTAATGTTTTTGCAAGAGAAAAGGAGAAATGAAGCTTGTTCGGTTTTGTTTTTAAAGCTTGCTGCATCGTACAGCATCTGTTCTATTATGAACCTATGTGAAATATTCCTTTTACAAAGGAACTTCAAAAACACTGAAAAACTTTAACCTCTCTTCCAGTTAGCAATTGATTATGGAATCAAATTCTTGGAGACAAGCGCAAAATCCAGCATAAATGTGGAAGAGGTGAGTGTTATGCTTAAGTGTGGTTCTTGAACTACTACTGCTATGGAGGCATGTTTCATGATCTCCTGGGCTTTCTGACCTGATCTGGGACCTGAAGTCCCAACTGTGCTCCTGGGTCACCAATTTTATTATATTTAGAGAGCTGCTGTAAAATCCAGCATTTCTTGTTTCCTGGTAATGTGTGGAATTGTTTTTAAATGGGTGTTAACAGAGTGGTTTACTATTATTGTAACAAACAGTTGCTTTAGACTTCTGTGCCTTGCTACTTAAACTGCAAGTGCTTTTGGCTGGGGAGTAGGTGTAATTTAGAACAACACTTTGTGCAGGAAATTGGATTCAAGATTCTTTATTTTCAGAATAACATGCTACTGTGTCAAGGAGTCTTCAGGTTACTGCTAAATATGTGCTATGCAGATGAGACTGAATATTTGTATGTTAACCTGGAACATCAGCATAGACTGTCATAAGCTGAGGAGTAAGGTGGCTTATAATAGTCTATAGACAGACTTGCAGTCTTTTCCTGCAAGTAAGTTTTGCGCTAAAAACACAAGATCCCTATGTATGAGAGCATAAGGAAATAGAATCGGAAGGAAGAGTGGCTCAATTCTAGTCTATCTTACTATGAATCACTCTTGTCATCTCAGGGCGGGTGGGGGGAGGATCTTAATTCTGTGAAGAGCATGGGCAAGAAAATGGTATCAAAAGGCAGTTACATTAAGATTCATTCATTCAGATAAGACAGACTTGTTCTTAAATGTTGTTCCTGTACCTAATCATCTAAAAGCTTTTCCATGTGTATTGATGGGATACCTTTTAAAAGTCCTCCAAACACGTACTTCATTCAGATCTTGCAGCTAACAAATTAGCTACAAACTAAGGAGACTGTTACTTTAAAATAACATGACTGATGCTGTGCCAGCCAAGCGTTTTTTTTTTCTGATCTGAGGATGATTGTTATACAATATAGTTAGAATGGACTTATTTGCATTGTCTTGCATCTGGAATAGTGCTTGGCCCGATTTTCACAGTGTCATTGTAATTCTTACAGCAGACAATGGAAGTGTGAACATTAGCAGCTAATACCAATGGTGGATAGCAATAGTCTCCTAATAAAAAGTACCTGTCTTCTTCATTAGTTTCTTGAGATGGTTGACTTGCTCTTTCATGATGTGCCCTGCAATTAATTTTAACTCCTCTAGGTCACTAAATGTACAACATTAGTTTGTGCTTACTCCAAACGACTTGGCTATCTGAATATTATTTTAAATTGTCACATGAATAGCGAAGAAAGCATTTAAAAATGCAGCTGGTATAGGCATTCAGCAAGGAACAATCTAGTCGTCTTTCCACCAAATGCTTAACTTATGGGAAATGATGCAATTGTGATATTCTTGTGATCAGAATCGAATTAATTAATTTTATTTGTTGTGATTTATTTGCATGAAATGAGTGTTGGTCTTTGGACATATTCTGAGCACAAGGAGAGGGGAAGTGTTTACAGTTTTTTACATTTTGGAACTGTCCTTGGATTGTTGATATCTCCAGATAGCCTAGAATCTTGCTTTTCCCTGCTTCTGGAGAACTGCAGAATTTTTCTGCTACAGAAGTTTCTTTGCTCCTTCATACATTGAAGTCTGAGATGCTGAGATTTTTTTAAATAGGGATGTTGGAAGCATAAATAACACTATAGATAGCCCAGGAGCAAAACTTTTGGGGGACGGAAAGCAAGCTAACCTTAATGTGGATTCCCAGGCATGCCATCCTCAAACCCTCTCTGTGGGTTTCCAGTTGCGATGCACAGTAGGGTGGAAAAAAAACAGTATTAGTGTATGCAGCCTTCTCTTCAGCAGATTGGTTTTTTGGGTTTTGGGGTTTTTTTGCCCAAGAGGTATGTGATGGGAAAGTCTGTTCACTTGCTTCGAAGATTGGAGGGATGGAGACTAAAAATAAACAGTTTTTTCTTCTAAAGCATGCTTATTGCGGTTTTAAGTAAACGCTTACTGTTCGTAGTGCCTTGCAACTTGAAGTACTACCAGTGCCCTACAGAATACTGTATTGTTAATGTGTTTGGCTACTCCAAATCTATCTTGACTTTAATGTGTTTTGTGACTAACTTTTTTTTTTTTCCACTCCTCACCAGGCATTTTTCACACTTGCACGGGACATTATGACAAAGCTCAACAGAAAAATGGTTTGTATTTCCAATTGGCATACAAGCTAGATACATTGAAATGATTACTATAATGATTGGCTGAGTAGTAGCCCTACAAAAAACTCCTGGGGATTACAGTGGATGCTAGATCAAATTTGAGTAAATGGTGCTTTATCACACTTTATTACACATCAGTGTGTAAATGTTCTTTATTTTGCAGGAACATTAACATTGGGCAGCCTGAAACTGATGTGTTCTTTTGAAATGTAACAGTGTAATCCTTGCTTTATTAAATGTCAAATTATGTAGTCACTCCTTCGGCTAATAAGTGCGATCTGGATTATTGGATAAATGTTTCTTTTTAAAATAGGCAGTTTTACTGAGTGATTAACAGAGTCTGGATAATTGAGGAGCTCAAGTTAAAACAAACCTCTGGTCTGTAATTGTTTTGCAAGGAGTGGAAGTGGGGAGGGAAACTAGGAAAGCTAGACTTATTTTTTTCTTCATTTTATGATGTTGATACTCTCTTCTCTTTCAGAATGACAACAGTTCATCAGGGGCAGGTGGGCCAGTAAAAATAACAGAAAATCGATCTAAGAAGAGCAGCTTCTTTCGATGCACGCTACTTTGATGAACTTCTAATGATAGACTGCAGCACACTTAGAACCTTTTCTGCTTCTTTGAAAGCACAGGGTCACAAAGCCTCAGAAATAATACCACCAAGCTGCTGCTGAGAGCTCCATTGAACGTAGACTGCGATGCACAAAATACCAAGTGGATTTTGCTCACTAAGCCTATTGACCTGTCAGGCTCTTCTTTCTCAGATATGGAAGCTATGAAGTGGAGACACAAATGCAAGAGTTAACTTGTTTTCCTTTTTTACTTTCTGTTTTACTGCCTGTTGCAAAAGCTGCTATGTTTCTTTTAACTTTGCACATCCATATCGGCCTCTTACTGCCTGTTACAGCACAATCTTACATTTGTATTTGCACAGTTTGACTTGTAAGTAAGATTCTTAACAGATTTGTGCAGGTTTTTCTTTCTCTTTTTAAACAAATTTATTTTCAAGCAGAAGAGCCAGGGAAAAATTAAGTCTCACTTCCATTGTTTTCTATTCTATATACTTGTGGCCATGACTGCAGTATGGATGTTGACACTCTAGTGATGAGAATTACTGTAATAATTGGCGTTTAACCATTTATATGGGTTTTGTCTCTTAGATGCACAAATCTGTTCATGCAGAAGCTATGGCTTCTATTCTGAATGTAGTACGTTGCTTTTCTTTCTTTACCAGACTTAGCAAAGTTGTGTTCTGAATTGCCAGTCACTGTCTGATTCACACGTGCACCTTTCAGTTATTTGAATAAACACAGTGTCTTTCCTCACTTAACTTCCGTTTGTTAGCTCAAACTGTCTGCACCTTTTTTTGTTTCTGATGAGGAAGTACACTCTGGAGTTGAAATCATCGTCACAAATTGGCCTCATCACTATCACTTAAGTGGCTTGTGGAAGCTGAATGCATGAGTTTTGAGTAAGCTCTTTGTGGATTCATTTGTTCAGAAATGACTGCTTCTAAAAGGTGACTTCCATTTCTGCTGTAATTTTAAGGATAGTTTGTTAATGTCTGTAAGCATTGACCCTTGACAACAGAAGTGTCCAAAAACTAGCTTCCTGTGCAGTTGCTAAAGTTTATCAAGTTCCGGCACTAAGGAAATGGTCACATTAGGGCTATAATGTACTGTTAGTGATGCAGTTAATGCTGAATGTGTGAAGCCCTCTCTGGTCTGCTCAAGCAGTTAAGTTATTTTTTTTCATCAAAAAGTGGTACAGTGACCTAGACTGTTAGAAGCAGAGGTGAAACGTAGTTGCCTTTTTTACTCAACTGAACATTGTATAACCTAGTCTTTGTTCTACTACTTTTTTATTGTCTTCTGAAAAATTTCCTCAATGAGCAATTAATACAGGTGCTTTAGTTCTGTCGATGTGCCAAACTTGGACCATTGTAAGCTTTAACTACAAGTTTGTGTCCAGCATGTTTCTTACCAGGGGATAGGTGCATTCTGTCAATGTTAACGTCTGATGTGTTTGCTTTTGCTTCACTACATTGTCTAGAGCTGTAAACAGCGAGTTGGTTGTTACCACAGATAACTGCTTCATTTTGTGGTGTCAGGTACTGAATTTGTCATCGCTGGGTCTGTTGTAAATATTTTGAAAGTGAACAGGCCAATAGTGTTAGATCTAAAGACTTTTGATTTTAAAAGGTTTAAGATTAGTAGCTGGTTCCATAAAGTTTTAAGTGGTTATCAACCTGTCCCCACATGTAGTTCAATAGAAATAGTTATTGTAACTAGATGGTGAATCTCATAAACTGCTGTTGCTGCACTAAAACAGAAAAATCTTCATGGCAACATGGTTTAGTGAAAAAACAAAGCAACCCTAACTGCTCTGTTGTCTACCCTTGATGTCTTTCTTGGACAGGCTAAAGCAGTTATGTTTTCTGTATGGTTAAAAAAAGTGCTTCTATACAGAAAGTGTTGTGACACCAATTATGAATGTTGTTTATTTTCAGTGATTTACCTCTGACTTATTTGGTGTCGTAATACTCTGATTTTTATCTCAGGGGTTGTCTGCAAACCAAAACTGACATGTTCTGTGTTTGGCACCGTTTACAGAATGCTTTGTATTGTTTTTCCTGTCTTCGCTGTGTGGTTAAGTGTTCATTCAATATTAGTCTCCATGAACTTCCCTTTGAAAGAGCCTGTAAGTAGTAGAGTCTATGAAGTGCTTCTTGAAGCAGCAGCAAATTGGGGTATCTGCTCTGTGGGGGGGGAGGGGGGGGAAGGGAAGAATAAAAACCTTGCTATTTTCTTACATTTAGCTGTGCTAAACTGTACATAAATGTGAGGTAAGACCATAGGAAATTCACTTTATGCATGATAAAATAATGCAGTAAATATTTCACTTTGCTTAATGTTCATGTAAAGTTCGTCTTTTTCTATTTGTAGAAGAATTTAATGCAATTTTGTTGTCCCCTGCTGAAACTGAAGAATTCTAATATCATGTGGTCTTATGGATAAGGTAAAATGCAGATTTCTCTCTCTTTCTTTGTTGTTTTGCCCCCGCCCCTCTTCTCCAGCAGTATTAAATGGCTGAGTGGCTGCACTTTATCAGTGTGCTAACTTTTTGTCAGTATAGACCTCTTTCTGTGTACAGTCTGCCTTGTCAGACATTGAAAAATGTGCTGTATCTTAGCGTGCAAATCAGCTGTATGTTTTACTGGGAATTTTTTTAGCTATATTTTCCTTTAGACAAGCGGGTGATGATAAATGGTATGTTCTGCCTACGCATCAGATGCTGGGTACTACAGGCTTTTCTAGTATCACTATGATTGCTTTGTGCAGTCTCTGTTGCTACTTTGCTCAAGACTATATAATCTAAATTTTGAAGGACTCAACTATACCTCAGTCAACTAGTTAGTATTTTAATATCCATTAGAATGAAAGTCATATAATTATTATTCATTAAGCAGCAAATGTATTTCTGTTTTGTTCCAGAAATTGCCATTAACCTTTCAGGAAAGGCAGACATTTTTTGGTGGATTTCAATAATACAAAAATGCTGCTTATGCTGTTGAGTTTTATGAAATCTTTCCCTCAGCCCCATGTCTGTGCACTGTATCTTGACCAATGTTTTTCTAAATGTTTTTTGTTTTTTTTTAAAAAAAAGCCAAACAAAAAACAAAACTGGTCTCAGTGCTCTGCAGTTTTAGCTTTCAGTCTGTGCTCAGCAAAACATGCACAAGAAGTTTTTGTTGAGTGTATGTAGACTATTTGATTTACTTACTGCCTGGAAGTTCTATTATTGCTAAAACTTAAACCACTCATAAAACTTAACACAGCTCACTCTTCTATTTGGGGGACAGTCTCAAAAATGCTAATTGACTCTTCAGACCTGTAGTTCTTTTTACAGAAAGTATTTCCCATTGTAAGTACCTTTCCCATACTAGTCTGCTGAAGTCAAGTGAATTAAGTGGATCATTTTCACAAGTGAATAAAGGAGTCTTGAATATACATGCCACATTAAAATATTGTGAGTGGATAATGATTTGAAAGTACATGAATAATATGTAAAATGCATAAATGTGTTATTTGTGAAAATGCATCTGTTATTTGGTTATCTATTAATGTAACTGAAATTTTGCAATGTTAAACTTCATAAGGATTGTTCTGTAGGTGATAATAGGTCTTTTTTCTCCTCCGTTCACTGAACTGTTTATGCCATTCTCATTCTTATAAATAAAACTTGTATTTCTTTCTTCCACAAAAGCAGGATTTCAATTGATTTTTCTTGTTTCTGGTGAATCATAGTATTTTAGTGCATTCCTATGGCCTTACGAACATTTTTGCAAATAAAACTTCAATTACAGTTATTTTAATGCTATATAGCTACTAAATTCAGAATATAAAAAGTATAGTCCTTGAGAAAATGCTTAATTTTGAAATAGAAGTGTTCTACTGTGTGTGTTTAAGCACATTTTATCTCTGGTATAAAGGTGTAATGTGAAAAGCTCCTGCAGATAAAAGTGAACTTGTCATGTGGTTAACTTGTAAACCTAATCATTAATTGTGTATTGATGTGTATAGACAAAAACCCCAAACCCAGCCCCTAAAAAAGCCTTCACGCTCCAATGGTTTTATTATTCCATGTGAACTTTTTTACAATGTGTGTCTCAAATAAAAGTTACATAATGAAAAGTATTTGGAGTATTTTGTATGAAATATTCCACATAGGTTTTTATACAGTTGGCATTTCCACTCTGTTTTCAATACATCTGTTGTGGAAAGGTGTCCAGCTGAGTCGCATCTGTAAAGCTTTGCTTAACTTCAGTGGCAAACCACAAGGGTTTTTGTATGGCTTTGCTTGTTCCTAAATTTGACTGTTCTTTAGATTTCTCCTGAAATATCTTCTCTTCCTGTAGTGATTGCTTAAATCTAAGCATATTATTTCCATGACCTTCAGTTTCATAAGGAACCATTTTTCCAGACACTTAGCGTCATGAAATACCCTTCCAAAGTAACTTCTGGGCAATGCCAGTAAAGATAATATGAGACACAATCTCCAGTTTGATTAAGAATTATCTAGTCACTTAAGCTGTTAATACTGATTTAAAACACCACCACCAAAAAAGAAAATGTTATGTGAAAGGTATGACTCTTAAGTAACCTTATATATAATTAATTAATATGCAAGTACTGTTTGTCCAGCTTTCTTCAACACTGAATATTGAGGGATTTGACAGAAGTATTTGTTGGCTATTATATTAGCAATAGTTCTTGACTTTCAAATTATTGTGGTTTGGCGGTGACTCACAATTGGTATGAAAATTAGCAAACCTAAGGAAAGAATGGTTTTGTCTACCCAAGACAAAAGCAGATCAATGGTTGAGACACCCAAGTGGGCACCCGAAGGAATAAATGGGAAACACATGGATGACAAGTAGCTTCTAAAGTTCATGCTCTTTACATGTTCATCTAATAAACTATGTTTAGCTGAAAGGATGTATTGTCTCTTTACCTTAAGCAACAGCAAGCTAGAGTTACATTCTTGTAACATCTTATTTGTTGGTTTGGTTTGGGTTTGGGTGTTTTTTGTTTTTTTTTTCCCCAGACTGCTTCTGGCAGACAAGTTTGCTGCTTTAGGACCAGCTGTTTAAACATTATCTTGCAGATCCCCTTGATCTGAACTGGTTCTAGATGCTCAGCAGTCCTAAAATCACTTCTGCAAGTCCTTCACTTCTCACAGAAGTTGGTGGCATTCATCTACATCCTGATAACATTTTAAATACATTTGCATTCTCAATTTGTTAAAAGGAAATGGCAGGCATATTTACACTGCTTAAAAATGGTGATTTATTACAGTTCCTGGATCTATTTTCGGTTGCAGACTAGCAATTACTATACAAATAGTGCACACTTGTAGACCAGAGGCAAGTTGTTGGTACATGTGTAGAATGTATCCAGCTTTTATAATCTGGTATATTGCCTTTTTCCTAAATGATTCTTTTTCCAACTTGGTTGACTAGTGGCTCTTTAGAATTCTTGAACTATACCGAAGTCATCAATATAATGTAAGATTTCAAAATCATTTTTCTTTAGAAAGATTCTGATCTTCAAGAGATACATAAATGAAGCTTTTATGTTGCATAATGTTATCCTTGCCATCTAGAGGTTTAAAGAAAGGGCGTAGAATGGAATGCAAAACATAAGAGAATTTGCAGTGCTCTAGGATGTTTTGTAGTTGCTTCAAAAATTTTTTACTGTCTTCAGCAGAGCACATCAGCACTAAGCTTCTGGTGTGAACAAATGTTACATAAATTTATCTGAGC